ATACTGAAATAATAATAATAATGTATACACCTCAAGTAAACGATTTACTATTATTTGGTTTTAGATACCGAAACCCAACCGAAAGCTGCTACCCTGATGTGGTGGTCGGGCTTGAACCCCTCAATGACCTAATCAAGCTATACTGGCTGAGACTTATATCTCTTGAGGTCCTACCATGCCAGAAAGGTTGTTTGAATAGCGGTTAGACGAAAAGCACCTACCCAATCCAATACTATGACACAAACAAACTCACAAAATATCATACCGGAACGGTCGGGGACCGGATTAACAACGACCGCGCTTCCTGCTGCCGTGTCACAGGGCAGAAGTGATTAATATGTTACTGAGACACACCAAACAATAAAGAACAAACAAAAACAGGCCACGTGTGACCGGCCTCAAGCAGTTGTCTCCTGGGCTCTGCGGTCACGCAACCAACTTCCACGGTGTGGGCAGCCGGGAAGTAACAAACTCCATCACAATCCGAAATGCACACGAAACCTCTCTAATCCTCACTCATCTTTGTCTTCATCTCTATTATCTTGCCTTCCTTCCACTGATGCAACTCCTCTACTTGATGGCTCTTCACTTCCTCTTCACTCTGTGTCCACTAAAAACGACGGAAGCCAAAAAACCACCACCGATAGCCTCCTAAAGCCACGCCACCAATTTCATATAGGAGCACTTAATGTTAGGACACTTTGCCAAATAGGACAACAAGCATCACTAGCTAAGACTCTGGCATCCCGAGCCATTGATGTATGTTGTGTTTCAGAAACACGCATACAAGACCCAAGTGTGGTTATTCACCTAACCCCACCTGGCCAACAGGATGAATCTGCAAAATTCACCTTGAGGGTGTCAGGAGATGCCACAGCCAGTTCACGAGGATTAGCTGGCGTAGGGATAGTTTTAAGTACTAGGGCAGAAAAGACATTACTTGACTAGATCTCGGTAGATAGCCGAATGTGTGCTGTCCGTCTGAACGGATCAGTAAGAAGGAGAAAAGACTGCACTACTCGCCGATGCCTTTTCGTAATCTCCGCCTACGCCCCCACTGACTGCAGTTCAGATGAAACGAAGGATGAGTTCTACTAAAAGCTTTCTAGTTTGGTGCGAAAGGCTAAACGCTCAGACATAGTCGTTCTAGCTGGTGACTTTTACGCTCAAGTAGGGAAATTGTGTCAATCTGAGAAGGATGTCGGTGGCATTTATGGAGTTCCGTGCCAGCGAACCGACAACGGTGACCGTCTCCTACAGTTCTGCTCTGATAATCATTTGTTTCTTGTAAGCACTAACTTTAAACACAAGGAGAGACACTGTTTAACCTGGCGACCCCCATCATCAAACCAACGCTGGACACAAATAGACCACATAGCAATAAGCTATCGTTGGCGTGGGTTGGTAGGAGATTGTCGCTTTTTCTGGGACACGTGTGTAGATACCGATCACGCACTGGTCCGGGCTCGTGTGTGCTTACGACTGAACGGACGTAGGAAACAGCTGGCGGTAAAACCATCACGTCCACAGCTCGATCAGGAAACTAAATCCCTATTTGAGGAAGAACTAGCTAAACGCATATCTGAGTTCGACAGCTGTGGTCACCCTGAAGAAGCTTGGAAGAATATTCAGGCAGCCATAGATACAGCTGTAAAAGCTGTGAATAAAGTAAATCCAAAGGTGAGTATAAACCATTGGATTTCGACTGCCTCATCCGAACTGATAGATGCTAGAAGACTTATTCCGGTGAGCTGCACAAAAGCAAACTTACGAAAAGTCTCCGCAAGGACCGTGAACAGTGGTGGGTGACAAAAGGCGAAAGAGATGGAAAGAGCATCGGCGATAGGTAATACTAGGCAACGGGTGGGAGAAGACACACCATAAGTGAAACAATCTCGGAGAAAAATGCCACCATTATTAGCTCCCACCATATGCTGAAATGGAGAAGCACAATAGTAATTATGACTCTAGTAACTACTGCAAGATATTTGTTGAATTTTCTGTGTTAGTTTTGATAGTAGCTGCTGACTGCATCAGTTGATGTTGACGTGGTTCAGCAAATGTCTAGTTAGCGGTGAAAATAAACTGTGATACTAATAAATGTGGTTTGACTTTTCTGAAGCATACATACGTACTCAAAAATGCCTAAATAATGAAGACTTATAACCGGTGTTAGCACCTTGCTCTTAAGAGGATGATTCATAAACTCATCAATTCTTTTGTACCACTAAGTGAATTGATTAGCCTTAATTTAACGTTATTGAAGTAAGTATACTACTACCAAGTGTAAAAAATGTCACAGAATATTTTTTCTCACTTTTTACTTTCGCTTCCTTTGTATCTCCCCATGATGTCCGACTATCGACCAAAGGGCGGGTGTACTGCTCACCAGTCCGCTCCATCCTCCTTTATGGCTGGCTGTGAGACCTGGCCATTGAGAGTGGAAGACATGAAAAGCGTGGCTAGCTGTCTTTGATCATAGGTGCCTGCGTTCTATCTCCCGTGTGAAGTTGTATAATAAGGTGAGCAATATTGAGGTGACGCATCGGTCGAGTTCTAGGTAAGGAGGGGAAATCAATCGACGAGGCTGTGAGATTACATCGACTGAGATGGTTAGGGCATGTGCTATGTATGCCTGGTCATCGATCGCCTCCCTCAACAATGGGCTATGTTAACTGACATAGGGTCAGGCTGGAAAAGAGCCAGCGGCGGTCAAACCAAAACATGGCTTCATTAGTCAATGAAATCTACAACACTTAGTTTAAGCCAGCTAGTCACGTAGGAAGGTGTAGACTTCATGACTGGTTGGGGTCCTCGGGACGGTAAAAACCAATGGTTGGAAGCAATTGGTGACATGGCTCAAAATCGTTCTCAATGGCTAGCGAAGATGCATCCACTCCTTGTGACTTATGATTTCCAATGAAACTGTTTTGTTTTTCGTTATAACTATTCCTTTGTCTCACATCTTTGTTTGCTGTTATTGTTTACTATTGTGCATTTCTTCTACTTTTTTCTCTTGATTTGTGTGCTACACGGAGTGTGGCGACTTGAACTGCCGCACATATGTGCAAAGTTCTATGTCGAAAACAGACAGAGAGAAATAGATACTGAAAATCAACGGTTGGATACACTTGGTAACATAAACTATTGACTAGGTTAACAAAATTGTTAGGTAGTGTGTGGGAGCTTGAGGTAGTCGCACTAGACTGATGCAATTCATTGATCTTCCTAGCTTATAATAAGGAGGAAAATAATAATAATAAATAATAATAATCAAAAGGGGATAAGCTTGACTGACTATCTAAAATTCCACATTCAATGATCCTGTGACTACTAAGCCTCGTGTTTCACTAGGAACCTAAGCGAATAATAATAATAATCCCTATATGCTTATTCTTTCTTCCACACGCTGTGGCTCCTTTTTTTCTCCTCTACATTTGTGTCCTTATGAAGTGTGGCAACTAGAAATATTCAACTTTTATGCGGAGTTTTAAGATGACACTGAGTCAGTCACTTTATAATCCTTTACCAAGATACAAAAGCATTCACTCCTCGTCATCTTCCAGATTTCGAAGATGCTCATCAACTTTCATTTCATTATTATCCGTCTTACGCTCAAGTGTTTTCATATTCGTAGTACTACATTTCTGTCTGCTTTTCCTTTTTAAAGCCTGGTAACTTGAAGTGATGTGTCTATATGCACAGTCCTATGTTGTTCTATAGGCCAAAACATTTAAATGGAGTGGAAGCACATCGAGAAAGCAATAACAACACTAACAACAGTATCTTGTTAACTGAAGAGTGGTTGATCGGATATACAACTCAAGAATCCAAAATACGTACTTCGTCAGCACCAAAAACGAATCAAACATGAAGTAAATAAACCCTATCTAATTAAAGCGAAAGAACTAAATGATTAATTATCTACCACAGTGTCCAGGTTTTTTTCTTATATCAATAATTATCTTTCCCAAAAAGACATATATATATATATATATATATATATATATATATATATATATATATATATATATATATAGTCAATAAAGAATATATCGACAAATATTAAGGGCTAGAAACAACAAATATTATACCCCACTGGAAATGAATAATTTTTGTACAAACATTACTCATCAATAACAACATTAGGTAGGGTAAAATATAGTCAAGTAGATGATTACAGAAAAAAACAAAACTGTTTCTTACAATTGATATGTCTCATAATAAGAGAAGTACATTTGTGTAAGAATTAACTTTGATAATAGTTTAGTCAAAAGTATACTCATCATTGTAGATTTTTTTTTGGCAATCAACTGAAAACAAGCTATAAATAAAATAAAATTGAAAATAGAACACATTCAATGGTCTGGTGTACCATTATCATCATTATCATTATTGGTGAGCCGAAGTATATTGCGTCAATAATTATCACCACCAAACAATAATGCATTTTGCATTAGCATCAGAATCTGAGGATAAGAAAATAGTGGTGTCGCCAGTTTATTAACTGCAAATACACGAGTGAAATATGATGAGCACTGTTTTCATCTGAACAACCCCATATTATTAACTTCAGAACTTTTTTACTAGCGTCCAAGGTGATGTCCAATAAACAAGCTTACTATATATATATATATATATATATATATATATATATATATATATATATATATATATATATTACTTTTTTAATGTTCAGATGCGTTAAAAGTGCGGAGTACTTGAAATTCGCTAAACAGAAGTTAATTTGACTATGTTCTCTTCAAGCTAAAATAAAAACAAAGTGAAAATTACGATGACTTTGAATTTCTGCAAATCGATCTTTTCTCTTACACACTATCACATTGCGATTCATGAAAGAAGTGATAGGCACAAAAATAAATTAGCAATAAGACAGAAACTGTAGGAATTTAACTATTAGACTGATTTAGCGAATACTGAAATAGTGCGTAGATCCATATAAATTATAGTATTATTGTATTGAAGTTAATTAACGTAAATCAGTTGGCCCGGGCAATTTGAGCAGAAGGCTGTGAAACTTTTGATGGATTATTACGTATATTAGAAACTGCGGAGCTAGATGTATTAGTCGATAGGAGTTCGACATAATTGGCGGGAATCAAGCCTCGAGAAGGTTGACCACCAGAAGTACTGATTATCTCAGCATACCACCAGTTTTCATCTTCTTCACCATGTATGAGTAGACAATCACCTCGACGGAATGACATTTCTTCTCGAAATTCAGCATTAAAATCGAATTTAGCAACACACTGTCGTCCAGCTAGGTTTGTCGACACTATACCAGGCGGCAAACTAGTTATATTTTGAGATTGTTCTTTGCTCACCAGGTTCGCACCATCGGTAACCGGTGCATGAACGATTCTAGAACCGGAATTAGTTTGAGCTCGGGGATTGTTAAATATCGCATTAGGCCCAGAACCAACTGGACCGAACGTCTGAAAATAAAAAAGAATACCAATTATTTAACAGTTTCATATACAATCTTTTTAACGAAATGCCACAATTAACCGGTAAACAGACGTTGAAGCTTACTAAACAGACAAATTTCGAATAGTAGCTGAGCAGAGACAAGAAGAAAAAAGGGCTGTAATTTTAAAAAATAAACAACAACTTAACTGATTAAAAATGCCCATTAAAATTTTCAAAAGAATGGATACTGAACAAAGAATACTCTTTTCCATAACTTCATCATCTAGCTCCACACTTATATATACATTATAGTGAATGAATGAATTAGTGTTATGAGCAACATTAATGCTGTTTCAATAACATCGAATCAATAATAATATTGATGGATTACAGCTCAATAACACCAAAATAAAATAAACTGAATGTCAGAAAAAATAGAAAATATAATATTACAAATTCATGAATTTATAGTCTCTACTGAAGACCAGGGCAGTAGTACGGGGTGGACTTGCTTCTTTTGAACACATAGCACTAGTTGTTTGAGGCGAATTGGAATAGCCTCTGCTGTTTGGAGCATGCGGTGGTTCGATGATTTCGGTAATTTACTAGGCACCCGGTAGATTATAAACAAGGATTCCTCCACACTGGTTTTGTGGCCGGTTCGCACTAGATGGTCCAATATCGAACTGTTAATGATTTTCACTACACCTTTACTTAACCATAATGGGAGATGTTCTCGGGCACGAAAAATCAAGTAGCTAGAGCAACTGCTAATATAACTCGCTCCATAAGCGCAGTTGAATAGGTAGATACAATTTGAAGTGCCTACTTTAGGTACTGAAATCCACAACAGTTGGTCTAAGCCACGTAGGAAGGTGTAGACTTCATGACTGGTTGGGGTCCTCGGGACGGTAAAAACCAATGGTTGGAAGCAATTGGTGACATGGCTCAAAATCGTTCTCAATGGCTAGCGAAGATGCATCCACTCCTTGTGACTTATGATTTCCAATGAAACTGTTTTGTTTTTCGTTATAACTATTCCTTTGTCTCACATCTTTGTTTGCTGTTATTGTTTACTATTGTGCATTTCTTCTACTTTTTTCTCTTGATTTGTGTGCTACACGGAGTGTGGCGACTTGAACTGCCGCACATATGTGCAAAGTTCTATGTCGGAAAGAGACAGACAGACTCTAGGTACTTCATCTTTCAGTTGAGGTAGCACCATCGGTCGTGTAGAGAATAAGACGCGTAATTCCCCAGCATTAAAAGTTCTTTGAATTGATTTTCTTAATTTCTTCGTAATTAACTCACTTGGTATATCGCCCTTGAATTGCAGCCGTATATAAAGAGGCTTCTTGTTTACAGATAGTGAGTAGTCCTTTTCCGCTTTCTTTGTCGTGTTCCTTGATAAATTTTTCGGGATAGCTATTTTCGATCAAACTATCATACACAATGCCTAATGCATCTTCAGTAACTTCTTCTAAGAATATAGCTCTAACTCTGTGGCAGGGGGTCTTCACTAAATTTCTTCTGTGAAAATGTGTTTATTGTCCTGTCCAAGTACTTTTTCTATGCTAATTTCTTTTTATGCTACCATCTGGTTTTCTTGTAAGTAGGACATCTAGGAAGGCAATTCTCTCTTGGGATTCCTCTTCGCATGTGAATTTCATAGCCAAATGTACTTCATTGAATTCAGTAATTATTGTACTTCTATCCCAATCATTATCATAAAGAATAAAGGTGTCATCCATATATCGGTAATAAAATGAAAATTTTGTGATAAGGTTGTTCAAAAGTCCATTTTCTAGCTTACCTAGAAAGAAATCAGCCAAAATGGGACCCAATGGGGAGCCCATCGCCACCCCGTCCACTTGCCTGTAAAGCGTGCCGTCAAATTTGCAATTTACATTCATCGTACACCTTAATAACAATTCTTTTAGGATTTCAGGACTGAAATAGACTGTTGGCCTTCTAAAGCACTTATACTACTAATAGGCAGCTTGCTGGATTTAAGACAAAGAAGCATTACATGAAGAGAACGAAAGAAGTCAAGAGAAATGAGTTAAGAGTGTTGTTTATTTGCAGAATGACAAATTTCCTGAAGATTTAATTATTGTGTGTAAATCGTAATATACTTACTGAAGACTGTAATGCCTATGCAAAAAGCCCCTACAAAGCACCTCGTCATCAGTAAACAGAGACACAAACACGAAGGATATGACATAATTACATGTCTTTTAAACTTCAAAAGCCTTAAATGTTAGCAGGAGTGAGTCAACGGTAAGTTCTATCAGACCTGAAATGTCAGATTAGAGTAGATACACGGGGAATTAGACTACTTCACTGATAATACTCTACAAATCGATTCAGTGAAAAAATCAGCCGGACAAGAGAAGAGAAATAGAAATAAAAAGGTTATGTCAAAAGTAGAAAAGAGACTGGGTAGATACTCTGCCTGTCTGTTTGTTTTCGACATAGAACTTTGCACATATGTGCGGCAGTTCAAGTCGCCACACTCCGTGTAGCACACAAATCAAGAGAAAAAAGTAGAAGAAATGCACAATAGTAAACAATAACAGCAAACAAAGATGTGAGACAAAGGAATAGTTATAACGAAAAACAAAACAGTTTCATTGGAAATCATAAGTCACAAGGAGTGGATGCATCTTCGCTAGCCATTGAGAACGATTTTGAGCCATGTCACCAATTGCTTCCAACCATTGGTTTTTACCGTCCCGAGGACCCCAACCAGTCATGAAGTCTACACCTTCCTACGTGACTAGCTGGCTTAAACTAAGTGTTGTAGATTTCATTGACTAATGAAGCCATGTTTTGGTTTGACCGCCGCTGGCTCTTTTCCAGCCTGACCCTATGTCAGTTAACATAGCCCATTGTTGAGGGAGGCGATCGATGACCAGGCATACATAGCACATGCCCTAACCATCTCAGTCGATGTAATCTCACAGCCTCGTCGATTGATTTCCCCTCCTTACCTAGAACTCGACCGATGCGTCACCTCAATATTGCTCACCTTATTATACAACTTCACACGGGAGATAGAACGCAGGCACCTATGATCAAAGACAGCTAGCCACGCTTTTCATGTCTTCCACTCTCAATGGCCAGGTCTCACAGCCAGCCATAAAGGAGGATGGAGCGGACTGGTGAGCAGTACACCCGCCCTTTGGTCGATAGTCGGACATCATGGGGAGATACAAAGGAAGCGAAAGTAAAAAGTGAGAAAAAATATTCTGTGACATTTTTTACACTTGGTAGTAGTATACTTACTTCAATAACGTTAAATTAAGGCTAATCAATTCACTTAGTGGTACAAAAGAATTGATGAGTTTATGAATCATCCTCTTAAGAGCAAGGTGCTAACACCGGTTATAAGTCTTCATTATTTAGGCATTTTTGAGTACGTATGTATGCTTCAGAAAAGTCAAACCACATTTATTAGTATCACAGTTTATTTTCACCGCTAACTAGACATTTGCTGAACCACGTCAACATCAACTGATGCAGTCAGCAGCTACTATCAAAACTAACACAGAAAATTCAACAAATATCTTGCAGTAGTTACTAGAGTCATAATTACTATTGTGCTTCTCCGTTTCAGCTAATACACACTTTGAAGGTTGAGTTAAATAACAGTAAAGGATAACTGATATCGGTATTGCGTTGATTTAAATTTGTACGATATTGAAATATGACACTTCCACAAGCATTAGGTTATCGTTGCACAAAATATTCGATGAAATCGCTTTCTCAGTGGATGATTATGGTGCACAGAAACACCTCTGTTCAGAAACTTAATCTACAGGTAGAAGACGATTAATTACGTAACACCGTTTTGAAAAAGAATTGAGTCACATTCATAAAATAGAGAAATATGCCACTGGCTTAATTGCAAACTATATATATATATATATATATATATATATATATATATATATAAACCACCGAGTCATATCGTTGAGCATATCGGTATTGAGCAAAAAAGCACGAAAACACATGCAAGATACGATGAAGAAATATATATCATGAATGTATGACTTAGAAAAGAGGCTTTTGAAACGAAAACTAATGACAGATTTCAATATCTTTATGCATCATATGACTTTAAAGAAAAATACAACAAAGAGAATAGATAGAAACGCGAGATAGAACGACGACGAGATTGAACTCAGAGAACACAAAAGTACAGTGATCAGTCACCTGAGCTACAAATATTCAGTGCTGTAGAGAAAGACCAGTAGGAGCAACTTTTCTCAGAAAAAAAATAACTAGGCTAATCTACGCTTTCTTTTCATCCTCAATCATCATCCTTTTACTGTAAAATTACTTAGCCAAATGAAGACTATTTTAAACAGTCTAATCACCAGTTGAAAATAACTATAAAAATAAGGACAGATACTCGGGAATCTTGAATATGAGGGTGAAACCGTTCAGAGTAGATTATTCTTAATCAGCTGCGATACTTAAAGGGATGAGAAATATCACAGAAAAATTTATTCAAGGTGAACATTATAGATAGTTAAACGAAACTGTTGATGAAATACCTACGCAAACGCACTTGACAAAATATGAAGACTGGTTGACGGCACAGGATATCTTGCTAAGTCATTCAAATAAAGGATTGTGAGTAAACTAGAGTTCGAAAACATTGAATATAATTTGTTTGAATAGTCTGGCAACAACATGTCTTGCACAATCAACCAAAATATTTTGCAAATATGAGAAACCACACATACGTATGTGGAGAAATTATTATACTATGTACTTCATCGAACAGTGCGCATGAGAGTGATTGATAGAAGAAATCCCCATAGTCACTGGTAGTATGGATGAGTTAATATTTGGTAAGAACGGTAAAGGGTAAAGTTGAACCATAGGAACACAAGGGATGCGAACGCACGAGTGATCTGTAGCCCACCGACCATAAAAATAAGTGATTTTTCCACAAAAAAATGACGTTTATTGACAAGAAAATGCATGGAAACACACTAAACAGGGTATCTTTCTC